GGAAAGAGAGGAAGGCTTCGTCGAACACATGTTAAATTTATTTTATTATTACGAAATTCCTAAAAAAATGATCGCCTCAGAATTTGGTTCTTTCGTTGTCATTGCGAAATTGGAATATTACTGGCCACTGCACTCCCACGTAGGATTTACTTCCTCAATATATATATATATATATAACTATTTTTTTTTATAGTTTTTAATCAATCTTTATTCCGTATATTTTTTAGGAATAGGTGAATATGTCCGGATAATCAATTTGTATTATAATATTCTAGATATCAAAATTTAAATGTAGAAATATGTAGATTTTAGAAATTTAAATTTTGAATATAAAAAATAAAAATTTCCAATTTTCTAATATATGTGTATATATATAATTTTATAATATTTAATCAATATCAGATGATTTATAATTTTTTTAAAATTTAAAGATAATTTTATAATTTTAAAAATAAAAACAATTTCGGGATTATGAAAAACTATACTTTTCAAAATTTTCAAATAAATATATATACTTTAAACAAATATATACACATATATATATTGACATAAATTTATACATGTATATATAAATGCACCTATATATATATATATATGAGTGTGTATATTTAAGGAAAAATTCCAAACAAAACCCTCAATTTGATGAAATCTACCAAAAACAAACCCCAATTTCCAAATTTGACAAACAAATATCTCAATTTAATTAATTTTACCAAATTAAATCCCAATCGATATCATCTTGACTCGCCGTTTAATTATGATGACGTAGATGTGTACGTGGGAAACAAAATCCACAGTGGACAAAAAACACAAGTAATTGGTCAAAGTGATTTGTTGCAATCCATACCAAATAAATTAAAATAAATCATATTAAAAAATCCAAAAATTCCTAAATTTAAAAAGACCATCATGAATATTCCCCACATGTGTTGTTGGTTCATCCAACTTCCCTCAAATATATCATCACAATCATCAAAATATTTATCACCATTAGATAACGTTGAAATCATTCAAAATCATTGGTAGCCTATATGGTAGATAAGAAGGATTTCTGAAGCTTCGATTTTGTCTAGCAACTTGCCTTGAGTTTCGAAAACCCTGTCCGAAGTATTAGTAGTTATCTAGGTCATGTTGGAGTTTTTTTTTAATTAAATGAAACATGAACCAACCAACCAAACATATCAACTCGGAATTTACTTTGGAATTTTAATAACTTTGAGTTGCGGTCTATTTAAACATAAAGAAAATGTTCATCAAGCTTACCCATTTAACGGGTAGCTTAATTTTATAAGTGTTTGAATTCAATTGCTTTCGACTAATACTATTATAAATCTCTCCAATCATCATTTCAAAACAATTTTTATATCATAACATTATTGTAATATTATTGTAATTGTCTAAACTCAACTATTTCAAAACTATATGAAATTTTGGAAAAGAAATCAATACATATTTTACAGATATTTATTTATTTATACTTATATTTATTTCTTTTTCTAAAAAATACATTTAAAAAACATCCAAGTTTAGTTATATCAAAATTTAATAAAATTAACGTTAGAGGATCATATATATTTAATTTTTATATAAGATAAAATCAAGATCGATGAATAGATAAAATTAGACCAATAGATCTATATATTTTTTTAAAAAAAATTAGAGTAATAACTATGCGACTTTTAAAAGATGTTAAATTTAAAATTTTATTTATTAACATATCTTATACATATATATTATATAGAAATGTATATATGACACTAAACTATTACAATATTTCAGCGGAAACAAAAGAAGTCAATCAATATTTCATACATTATAATCTTTGCTATATATATACACTTAATATTATGATCAACATTTTTCTTTAAAATAATGAAAGGATTTTTGGTTGTCTGAATAGATTTATCTTTAAATATTTTTTTATGTTTCATGTGGATAATTAGTTCATAACAACATCTCTATATAGTTTTGATTAACAATCTTCTAAAAACCAAATATTTAATTTAGAGATTGATACAATCTTATATTTTGCATTAATCTTTTGAAGGTGGAAAAGAAGAAAATCAATAAAAAAAAAATTGGACTTAACCAATGTAAATAAAGTACAAGTTTAAGCATATACCATATACAGATGTGTTTATCGAAATATTAATAAGATTATATAATTTAATATTATACATGTATTTAATCGTGAAATGTTTATTAAATTATACATTATTATTAGATTGCTAACATTAACTAAATTTGTATTGTTGTTTAAAACAATATTTTCTAAACTCTCAATAATTATATTTTTTAGGTACCACTCGATATACCAAAAATCTAATTTTTTATTCAAATCATAAATTTATCAAAACATTATTCTGATATTCTATATTTCATTTCTTTGTTCTATATTATAATCCATAAAATTTAAACATGTAAAATATAAAATATCCAAAATACTATACTGAAATGGATCTAACAAAAACCAAAAAAACTATTAAGATTTTGATGAGAGATAATGGGAACAATTAGTTTGATGGGGTAGATATCTCCTAGGTATCATTAAGTTTTTGTTTTGAAAGTCATTCATAGACTTATTGGCTCGAGGTTTGAAGTGCACACTCTAAATAAAAAATCAGTTGGATCAAATCGTAGCAGATTTTTTGTTTAACCAATATTATTATGATAAAATATACATAATATACAAATATACCATAATCTTAGTTTTAACTTTTAAGATAAAAGTGGCCCTATATTAGGTTATAAAAAAATCATAATTTAAATTAAAACAAATGAAAGAGATACATGATTAACATCAATCCTTTGTTCTATATAATCCATAAAATAAATATAAATAAATTGTTAATAATACTTTCGAAAAAAGATATTATCCCATTATCTCAACACTTAAAAAGAAATTATTTTGATTTAATAATAAAAAATATAATAAATTTTAAAATAAAATTTATTATATTTAAAGTTAAAATTAATAAAATTATTTAATATATATATATATATATATATATATATATATATATTTAGTATGCGCGATGCGTGGGGGTTTATAACTAGTTCAATATAAAAATTCAAAATAATACGGATTTTCTATTTTCGATAGAATGCATTAAAAAAAAATTTGTATTGTAATTGTTTAGACAATTAAATTTCGCTGCAAAGGTGCTTAAGACAAGAAACAACATGTTTTTTTGTTTGTTTGTTAAAGATTGTGTGTTTACTATTAATACTAGAGCTTATTCTTTACAAAATTGAAAGAAAATAACCATAGCGGATAACAAATTTTTCCATAGAAAGGCATGCATGCCATACCCATAAGGCCTTAGCACATGAGCCGAGACCAACACCTCTAAGCTATGAACGCTCGGGGATGTCACCTGTTCGATAACCAAATCCAAAAAAAAGAGCTGACAATTTCTCGGACATTGACAGGCACAGGATCCAAGATTTGGGCCTTCAGGCCCATCTCTCCTCATGCAGCCCTAACATGACAACCTTCCGAATTACAGTTATTTGGTCCCGATTCTTCCCATCGTTTTCCTCAGTTGTATTTCTTCCTTTTCTGTAGTTTTTTTCTAGCATATATGTTCACAGTACAACCAGAAATAAGATTAAGTTTCTTCGATTCACAAGTTTCTTCTTCAATCTCCGTTGATTCTAACACAAACTCAACAATTCGGTCTGATTTCCTTATGGTATCAGAGCATTGATCCATTCTTGTTTCTTCTCATCTGTTCCGCCATGTCCTCAACAATGGAGCAGACATCTCTACGTCTCATTCCTCTTTGCTTCACCCGCAACAACTGTTGCATCTGGTCTAAGGCTGTGACACTCGAGGATGACATTGTCGTGGCTGAAAAATATCGGAGCCAACACAGACAAATGGTTCTAGGAGAGGACCAACTTATGCTCTCTCGAAGCTTTGACTACAACAGAATGAGTAACGAAGGCTCGAAGATGTTGAATTAACCTGTGTCAAATTGGGTTAGTAAACCAGAACCAGATCGAGGCTGAAGCCTCTTATTAAGGTTATGCCACGTGTACAACGGTTTCCGTTAGATATCACCTGTACAGTCAATGAAAGTAACGTGTTCAATTTTCTCAATTCTAAGTTCTGGAAATGAGGTTTCTCTCTCTCTTTTCAAGAACTGAAATGGTATCAGAGCTCACGATGAGTAATTCCACACCAATTTCATCGATTCTTTGTTGAAATTGTTTACTTTTTCATTCTTTTTTACCGATTATTTCCGGTGTTTTTCATCAATTTCGCCGAATCATGGCATCTCAATCTCAAATCCCTAATATCTCGGCTGTCACGGCTGGTTCCCCCG